TGGTTGTACCCCACCTCCAGTCTTTTTCGTTTCTTTGTTTTTTGTTGGTGTTTTGCTCGCTTGCTCGCTTGCTCGCTCTCTCGCTCTCGCTCGTCCTTGCGCTGTTCCGTAACCCCCCGCTCGACTCTCCGATTGTCCTTTCGCGTCTCCTCGACCGTTATTTTCCCCCTCTCTCCCTCGTTCGTTTGTGTGCTTGCCGGCGGTTTCTTTCCTATTGTTCTTCTCGTATCGGGATCACTGTTGTGCCGTGTCCGTCGTCGTTGTCGTCATCGTCGTCGTCCTTGTCGGGCGTGCCCGTCGGGTTCCGCACGCTTTGCTTAGCTTCAGGTTCTTTTCCACCGTTGGCGTTCGCACGGCCGAACACGTTTCAGATTGCTTTTGCTCCCATCTTGTTTTGTTCATGTCGTCCACCTCCCCACTCTTCGTGTATTTGTCACTTCAAATTAGAGTTTGTACCCATGCTGCCACTGGCGACCATGCCTTTCCATGCTCCCCTGCTCCCGCTTCATGTCCGCTCCTCCATTCGTCCTCTGTTTCTGCTGTTGAACCGCCCTGCTCTCACTCAAATCATGTATGTTCCCATAAGCCTAGCGGCCGCCGCCGTCGCCAGCGGCCGCTCACCATGAACGTGGAAAACATCCCATCCAAATATCGCATCGGGGGGGATATAATATATCGTACAGTTGGGTCGTCATCGTCCGGCACTCGGCTCGGCCGTGACGTGCGCAATGGAAACAAATCAATCGCACGCAATCTACAAAAGTCACTGGTGTTCCTTGGCTCCTCGGGCGCGTCCGCGTCGACCGTGCCGGGCTTACTCTGACGCATCCGCATCCTCGGCATCGTCGTCCGCAACCACCGTCGCGTCATCCACAAAGGGCAACGACAGTCGCTGCGCTCGTGCGCGTGCGCGTGCCGCGCGCGCTTCGGTCGCGAGTTGCATCCGCACGCGTTCAAGTGTTTGCTCGATGCGCAGCCGGTTGCGGATCATGGCGAGTCGGGACCTAGAATCGGGTTGGTGAGTGAGAGAGTGGGAAGGAGGGGTGGAGAAGAGGGATTGGGTGGTGGGGCGTACCAAGTGACGCGCTGCCCCTTGAGCAGGTACCACCGCATGCGGTCCTCGGTCGGGTCGTCGAGAATGTGGACAATGTCGTAGGGCGTGGCCTTGGGCTAGACACATATCCATCGTGTCAGAACGGTGGTCGAACTAGCTGTGTTCGCGCGACGGAACGTACCAGAATTGTGACATTGCCATCAAACTTCTGCAACCACAGGAACGACCAGTCCTGGTTGAGCATGCGTGGGAGGAGGCGCAGGTCGCGAATCACCTTGAGCCATTTCTTGAGTTCGAGTTTCAGGACGTGTTCGGCCGTGGATGCGAGAAAGCCGCCGCGCCACCCAAGCCCACCACGGTGTGCGGTCGGGTGCCCGGACCCGCCGCGGTTCTCGAAAAAGAAGACCGACACGTGCGGGTTCACCTGCGAGACGATCACGTAGTTGACGTTGAACAGCTGGTGCAGCGACTTGGTCGGGCTGTGGGACAGGGTGGAGAAGGTTGGATCAGAACCGACGAAATCGGGAAACGCCTCGTCGAACCAAGAGAGTGAGCGTACATGTCGATGCGCAAACTGCCGTCCTGCCAGTACTCCCCCCACCCGACAAACGGCAGCACCGCTTCCTTCCCCGACACGTCATCGCGCTTCTTGATCATCAGCTGCACGGGCTCAATCACGCCCGGGACCGCCGACGACGCGAGCACCGCCGACCAAATCACGACATTCGGCGACGTCAAATGGTTCAGCAATTTCGGCGGAGCGTGCGCCGACGCGCCCGCCGCAACCACGGTAATATTCAGCGCGCGACCCGTCTTCGCATACGCTTCGGCAAACGTCATATCGCCGTGCGTGACCCACTGCATCTTCTCCTGCCACCGGTCGCGCGAGAACAGGTGGCCTTCGCGCCAGAGCCGGTGGAGCCGCGTCGTCCACGGCTCGTCGCACGCGGTCAGTTTCGACCACAGATCGACATTCAGCTGCGCATCGAGTTCCGCGTCGGTGCGGGTGCCGACAAACGCGGCGATCAGGGACCCAGCCGAAGTGCCGGTAATCACGCGCGGGAGCAGTTTCGCGTCGAGCAGCGCGCGAATCACGCCGAGGTGGTAGTACCCGCACGAGGCACCGCCGGACAAACACAGGGCCGACCGGCCGTACAATTGCGCGGCTTGTCGGAAGAACGTGCGTTTCGCGCGCGGGGTAGCCCACGGTGCGGCATCGCCAGTAGCCAAGTTCTCGATGGCATCGACGGTCTCATCAATGTACTCGTGCACAAGCCGCTTCGTGCCGACATAGGACTGCGAGTAGAGCCGCACGTTCTCGACGCCACCGAGGTCCGACTTGCACGCGGATTCGAGTAAAACGTCGCGCAGTTTCGCTGGGTCAGCGCGGTATCGCCGCAGTTGCGCGACAACCGACGCGATCAGCGTGTAGTTGTAGTCCGGGCTGGCTGCAACGTGGCGCCACTGCGTGCGGCCGAAGTGTTCCTCGAGCGCGGTGGCTGCGTCGGTCCATTCGGTGTAGGTCGTCGCGGCCTTGAGTCGCGAGCGTAGGGCGCCGCGCTCGCCGCGCCAGAAGAAGACGTGTTCGTAGATGACGACCGAGTAGCGCACGAGCGTGTAGAGGAGCAGTTCAACGGCGAGGATCAGGCCGATCAGGATCTAGAAACACGGATGCGGATGGCGCGCGTCAGGGTCAGATCAGATCAGAGCAAGTCAAACATAAGCGCCTCGTCTCGGAGAACGCGCCCCGGGATGCTCGGAGAGCTCGCGCGGGAAGGGACATTCTCCGGCGTCGGCAAGTTCGTGACGTACGAGTAATGGCCATCGCAAAATCTAAATAACCACCGACATCACCATCATCCCGCCACCCATTGTCGTCCACTCGTCAGTCCCCTCTGCTCTCACAATTCACCGCCATGATCACGGCGCCACGTCGAGTAAGCTACACACCGTGTACCCCCATCCGGACGGCTTATTCCGCATCCACGCGCGCCGGAGTGCTGGCGGTGTGCCCGCCATATCGTCGCTGTCGGACCCGTACAAGTCGCCGTACTCGGCCGCCCAGTCCTCGACGGCCTCGTCGCCCTGCGCGAGAATCGGGTCGGTCACATCGACCAAGGGCGGGTCGTTGAGCGGATGACAAGTCGGGTCGTCAGACGCCGACCCTGACATGTCGTCGGGACTGATCGTGCCCGTCGTGAGCGTGCGCCGGCGGTCGAGGCCGGCCTGTAACGCGGTGGTGGACGCGAGCGGCACGGTCGGTGAGATGGCAGTGCGCGGCGCCATGGTTGGTTGGTGGTGTTGGTGCGGTTGCCAGTTGGATGGACGGCGCGTGTCGTGATGGGTTGCAGAGAGTTGGATGTTGGAGAGGCGCGTCGTTGGACTGATCACTTGGGCATTGACGTAGGTGCTGGTTTCGTTCGCGAAAAGCTGCAGCAGCGGCAGCAGTTGCAACGGGGAGACAAGAGGCGCGTGTCGCTCTTATATATCTGCACGTCGGCGTCGTTTTCTGACGCCGCCGTTGCCATCAGCGCCGGTTCACGGAGTGGAGACCTCGCGGAGCATGCGGACCGGCACCATCGCGGAGACCGGCTGCGGCATCCGCACCCCACACGGCGGGGCCGTGTCCGCCTCTGCCGGGTCCGGTAAGTCATCGCTGACCGACAGGGCAAGGCCGGGAACCACGCCGTGCAACGCTTTTCGTGCAGCGGATTGGCACGCGTCGAGTCGGAACCGAACCTTGGGCCTGCCGCCGACTGATCGCACGCAGTTGGGGGCCTGGGGCCTGTGACGTGTGTTTTCAGGCGGGCCCCTTGTCGAGCGCATGGCAACTGCTTGGACACAGAAGCAACGAGACACGGGAGAGGGCGTGATCAGGTCAACAGCTGATCCCGCACACGCTTCTCCACCCCCACCATCTGCCGCGGCCGTGAACCGCGACAGCGTCCGTGATAAGCCAAAATTTAGCAACACATTGCGCAACGGCACCGCTTAGGTGCACCGACACGAATTACCCCCGCTGAAGAGCCCAACAAATCCATGACCGCCAGCAACGCCGCCAGGCTCCCGGAGCACCCGCGCCCGGACTTGTACCAGCTACTCGACCTGGACCCATCAACCGCCGACGCCGCCGCGATCCGCGCCGCTTACCGTCGTGCCGCCCTTGCCCTGCACCCGGACAAGTCCTCGTCCACCTCGTCCGCCCCACCTGACGCGTTCATGGCCGTCGCCGATGCGTATCGAATCCTGAGCGACGCAAATTTGCGCACCGCATACGACCAATGGCTCGCGGCGTATCAGGCGTCGAGGGAACCGCACTTCACCGTGGATCTCGACGATATGGTCCCACACTATGCGCCGGGTGCGGACGAGGACGGTGATGATGAGGATCCGAGTTCGTGGACACACGCGTGCCGATGCGGTGGGGAGTTTAGCGTGACGGTGGAGGACCTCGACCAGGGGGTCTCGGTCGTGCAGTGTTCCGGGTGCACGTTGCGGTGTCGAATCGTGTATTATACTGTGGATGAAAACGCGTGAAGTTCCACTTGTTGCGGTCAACCTTGAACTGTTAGCGGATATCTGATCCACTTTTTGGGCACCAGTCAGCAGAGCCGAGACCAATGAGACGGCGTGAGCGTACCTAGACCATGAGCTGAAATATTCATTCGAAGGAGCGACAGAAGTGAATCCAAAAGATCGATCTGTGCCAGTGGTGCCCCCCACATCTTGATTCCAACTGCCATCGTTACACATGGTGTTGTCGGATGCCAACAAGAACAAGGACAGGGCGCCGATGATCAAAAGGGGGTTCGAAAATGCAAGGACAAAAAGAGAGAGCAGAGGTCAGTGAAATGAAGGCAAATGGCAAATGGAATAAAACATGCTCCAAAACCTCCAAAAGCTCAACTTAGAGACAATAGCAGTCTTCGCGGTATCTCATTTTTTATGTCAACACGCAGACTCGAACTGCGGACCTTCTGTGTGTGAGACAGATGTGATAACCAAACTACACCATGTTGACGCTGAAATAACTCCTCAAGAGTGGATTTACACGCTGAGCCCACGCTCATCACCGCGCTCACGTGCCAACACGGCACGTCGTCATCGCGATCCAAGTCGCGCTCCACCACGACTGCGATCAAGGCCCAACATCCACCACGACAACGGTCTTGTCCACAACCCGCACCGCACTCCTCCACGCACAGCACCACCACCACGAGCACCCCCACCCCCACGCAACCATGGCCACCAAGCTCGACCTATCGTTCCTGAACCCGCCATCCCTGCACGCCGTGCACGACAACGACTTCACGTCCCTCGACAACGCGTCCGCCGCCGCACCCGGCCACCTGGCCATGCCGCGTTTCGCCATGGCGCCCGTGCGCGACCCGGCGGCCTTTTCGCTCGCGACGACGACCATGTCCTCCAAGGACGCGGGCGCGCACCAAGTGCAAATGGTGCACGGCACGACGACCTTGGCGTTCATGTACCAGGGCGGTCTCGTCGTGTCCGTCGACTCGCGCGCGTCGGCGGGCAATTACATTGCTTCGCAGTCGGTCAAGAAAGTAATTGAGATCAACCCGTACCTGCTCGGGACCATGGCGGGCGGTGCCGCCGACTGCCAGTACTGGCAGCGCGAACTGGGCCGCCGGTGCCGGCTGCACGAGTTACGCAACAAGGAGCGGATTTCGGTCGCGGCCGCGTCCAAGTTGCTGGCCAACATGGTCTACGGGTACAAGGGGATGGGCCTGTCGATGGGGACCATGGTGACCGGGTGGGATAAGACGGGGCCGCAGCTGTTTTACGTGGATTCGGATGGCCAGCGGCTCTCGTCCAACTTGTTCTCGGTCGGGTCCGGGTCAACGTTTGCGTACGGTACGAACTGGACCTCTTTCGCGTCTTTATCCTCGATCTGGGGCTGACGATGCACGCAATCCCCTGATCACAGGTATTCTTGACAGCGAGTACAAGTGGGACATGACGCGCGAAGAGGCGCTGGCCCTCGGGCAGCGCGCGATCGTGCACGCCACGTTCCGCGATGGCGCGTCGGGTGGTGTCAACAACCTCTACCATGTCGGGCCCGACGGCTGGGAGCAGATTTCGTCGACCGACGTGTCGGACCTCTACTACCAGTTTATGGGCCAGCCCAAGCCGGCGCTTGTCTAAGTCGATGACAGGAGTCTCGGTGCGGCGGCGGCGACGCGGTCGTCCGAAGTGTTGACGAGGAGTTGATTTGATAAAACGCGCGATTTTTTTTGATTCTTTTGACGGGTGTCGTCGACGCGCACCTGCTCCAGCACGACGCGATGTCGCGGGGAGCTGGAACGCAGCGTGACAAGCAAGCCTGATCGTCCAACACACGGCCCCGCCAACGAAAATGTGCACAAGCAGGGCAAACCAAGAACGACTAAGAACCGATCCAAATCAAAGAGCAACTGTACAGACGAAACGAAATTTCCTCTCACTTTTCCGCCGACCCACCCAACGGTGCCGGCCTCCGCTCTGCGCCCGTCGCCGGTTTTTACCGACCGTACTTTTGCAGTTCCCACTCGCGGTTGTCGAGCGGGCATACTTGGCGCGTCTTGAGCCAGCGCGAGATGCAGTGGAAATGGAACGCGTGCTACACGAAGCGCGCTCGCGTCGCGTTAGTCATCTTGCTCGAGTCGACAAGGGGTCCCGAAAATAGATTCAAGGGCGTACGTTGCACACACCCCACGCGACGGTGCACTCCTCGCTCGTGGCCGACTGCTGGTTGGCCTGGCACTCGATACACAAGTCCATGATGTGGTTGCGGCAAATCGCGCAGTTGTCGACGATAATGTCCCATGCCCAGAGCGCGACGGCGTTCCACTAATCAATCGGGATATTGGTGAGCGTGCGTGGACGGGCGGCGGCGATGATGGCGCCGTCAGAAACGCTGCGCACCTTCTTGACTTCGAACCGCTTCTTGCCGCCCTTGGCCGCGGAGGAGGCGGCAGTGGGCGCGGGCGTGTCAACGTCCATGTCGTTGCTGGTGTCGACGTCCATGGCGTTGTTGGACATGGCGGAAATCGATGCGATGGACGCACCGTCGGGTTTGCTGTGTCGGTGGGTCGCGAAAGAGCGGCGACAGCGAGGATCCGGTCGTGGTCGGGTTGCGGCCGGTGGCGGAAGCGGTGCTCGTGGCGGTGGTTGGCTTAGAACGACGTGGTCGAGCTGCGCGAGCGACGCGTCGGAGTTGCAAGTTGCGTGGTGGCCGCGGAACGATGACTCAGTTCGGTCGCGAGTGCGAGATGTGACGGTGGATCATTGGCACGTGCACACCTTGTCAGACCTGTCCTTGGCGCCATCACCGCGTCTCCTTCCTGCCTGGCTTGCTTGGCCAAGCGCCGCACCACGGGCGCGCACAACTTTGCTCTTCAGATGATGTGCCCGGCCCTCATGACCACCTGTTTTCATCGACTGCACCATATGAACCGCCCGTCAGCCGGTCGGCGGTCTCGTGGAACGAACAAGCCAAAGTTGCTCAGCTCAGCGCCAGCCTCCTCCATGACGATATGACGATATGACAATGGAGCGCGCGAAGGAACGACGCGAAACGGGCTGCAACGAGCTGAGGCCGACGAGGACCCGTTGGACCCGTCGCAACCCTGCAACTGTCGCACCGACGCGTTAATCTATTGCATCTTCCCCACAACCCAGAACGCGCGTGTATCGATGCTGCTCCAGGCCCCTATAAGATCCCGGCCGAACCGCGCGCCTCCCCCTCTCCCACTTTTCCAACCAACCCATCGCTTCCCGCGCTGCCAAACCAAATCCCGCACATCAACCAGTCCACCATGACGAGCTCTCCAGCTAGCACGCTCCACCGCGCCGACCTCTCCTCGACCATGGCCACCCCACCACTCTCGCCCGTGCTTGACCTGTCCTTCACCGCGCGCGAGCGCCGCCACTCGCTCGCAACGGGCCAGACCTCGCCCTTCTCGCTTTTTGGCGGCATGCCCACGTCGCCGACCGCCGCACTCTTTGCCTCGCCGCCAAGTTCGCTGCTCATGTCGCTCTCGCCCACGTCCGCCTCCGTCAACTCGGCGACGACAGCAAGGTCGACGGTGCCAGTGTCGTCGGCCGTGGTGCTCCCGCCCGTGCACACGCAGGTCGGATTCGCGCCGGTCGGTTCCGAGGCGAGTCCGCCGACGACTGGTACGACGACCGCGGCGCCTGCGGGCAAGACGCGCAGGCGCACCAAGACGACGCCCACCGCGCTCGGGTCGCCCGGTGAGCCTCCGAGTTTCCATATGTCGCAGGTCTCGTTCAGCGGCGGCAAGTTCTGGTAATTATTGTCCGAGGGCCGCGGAATGATGATGAGGCGTGGCCAAGCGACGCGACGCGTGCGGGCCCGTTGCGGCCCACGAGATCCTGGTTTGTGCAATCGCGACGTGCCGCGCCGCTCATGATCAAGTAAGTGCCAAGCCGGGCCCGTCGTGTCAGGGGTCGGATCCGGGTCCGTTGAGCCAAGTACGCGTCACGTCGTCGCGTTCGTTGGCGTTGATCGTGCACATACCCCGCGTTCCCTTGCTGCGTGCGACGCGCGCGCGGGGTGTACATACAGAGAGGATTGAGAGGACCGTGGAGCAATTCGCGCGTCGTGGTTGTTGTCAAAAATTTCAGTGCATGATAACATGGGGTCAATTTGTCGCTCTTGGTGTGATGTTGCAACTGGTGTCAGTGCGGGGGTGGGTGGCCAACGCGCTCTCATTTGCTTCCACAGCGCGTTTCCATGCACTTTTCGCAGCTCTTGGCGGCTTTGGCAGGCCGCATCAACTTCCACTCCGCCGTCATCCACGATTTCTCTTGGCTCGCAAGGACCGCGAAAGCACATCAGGCATCAACAGCGCACGATAGCGCACTACGACTAGCTGCAAACCTACCGTGCTGCACGCGCCGATCCGCTCCTCGTCGACCCACAGCCGTCAGCCCTGTCCTCGCAAACCAACCCCACCACCTCCATCCATTCCACCACCATGGACGTCGAATGGCCCGGCATGAACCCAGGCGCCTCGGCCCCCGCCGACGCGTGCCGCCTCTCCCTCGCCGACGGTCGCGTCGTCGACCTGACCCCGCTCCGCCGCACGCCCGTCGACTATTTTTCCCCGGCGCGCGACTCGCAAAACCAGTTCTACTACAACCTGTGCGGCCCGCTGGTCGACACGACCCACTGCGGGTCCACCGCCGGCGCGTGCATGACGCACCGAGACGACGCGACCTGGTGGCGCAACATTGGCGACGTCTCGTCGGCGCACCTCGCGGAACCGCGGATCCCGCGCGACCCGCACACCGTCACCTACACGATGACCGCGCCCAGCAACGTGACGTGTCCCGGCCGCGCGGACCCGATGGCGTTTGAGCTCTCGGCAGTCTGCGACACGTTCAATAACGGGACCAAAGTCGCCGACCTGGCCGCGTTCGGGGTCGCTGATGTAGGCCGGCCGGCGTTCACGTTCGAGCAAGAGTATTGCCGGTACCAGTTTGCCATTGTCTCGCCGCACGCGTGCCCGCGGGCTGCGGGCGCACCGACCGTACCCTCCGCGCCCGGGTGTACGTTGGGCGCGCAGTACTCATTGGCCAAACTGCGCGCGCCGATCAATTACCGCGTGGAGACGGAACTGGATACGTTTTGGTTGAATACGTGCGGTGCGCTCGTGGACGCGCAGGAGGAGACGGGCGGGAAGGGGTGTCCGCAGGGCGCGGCGATCTGTGCGCGCGCCAAGGATACGCCGCCGGGCCAGCCGATCGAGTTTCGCAATTTGGGGAGTAATGGCGAGTTGACGGTGGACGAGGGTGCGTTCGCCGCCGTTGGCTCCATTCGAGGGTGGACAGGGTGGATGTTGTTGACGTTTGGGTCTGCTGGCATAGGGGTCCTCACGCTGACGTACCACGACGGCGAGACGTGTGCCGACGGGGTACCACGAACGACGATTGTGCGGTTCCCGTGTTCCAGCGATAACGTACGGCATTCTCCACCACGACTCGATCTCGTCCGCG